TAGGTTTCTGCGGTCCTATTGCCAGGACCGGCCGGGGGAGTGGGCGGCTTTCATCCCCTGGGCAGAGATGGCCCAAAACTTCCTCCGCCACTCCTCCACTAACATGTCTCCGTTTCAGTGTGTACTAGGTTATCAGCCGGTCCTGGCACCGTGGCATAATAGCCAGATCGAGGCACCTGCGGTGGATGAATGGTTTAGGCCAGGGGTGTCAAACTCATTTTAGCTCAGGGGCCACATGGAGGAAAATCTATTCCCAAGTGGGCCGGACCGGAAAAATCATGGTATATATAACTTAAAAACAACAACTTCAGATTGTTTTCTTTGTTTTAATACGATCAATATACAACATAAAGCTGGAGCCTGAGGACAGTGTGTCCAAAATAGTACAAGCACAACATCACTATTAATCATAAAACACGTCAAGTTTATTTGAAAATTCTAAAGAAAAAGAACACAAACACACAATGCCTCAGTGATTAACAGAACTGTTTCACAAATCACAGAACTATATCAGGGGGTCATTTCTCAGGCAGAAATGTAGATAAAAAGAATGAAATCCTGTTCCCCAAACAAGTGCAAGAACCACAGAGTCAAGAATAGGTTAAATATACAAATAAAATAAAATCAATTAAAAACAATAGCACATCAACATAAAAACATATAAACATAAAGCTGGAGCCTGAGGACAGTGTGTCCAAAAGCACAACATCACTATTAATCATAAAACACCTCAAGTTATTTGAAAGTTCTGAGGACAAAGAACACACAAACACACAATGCCTCAGTGATTCACAGAATTATATCACAGATCACAGAACTCTATCAGGGTGTCTCATGTAGCACTTTAAGTGGGGTTGCATAGTTTATTTGACTCCTGATACCTGGCATCTTTTAGCTTTCACCAGCGCATCAATATCAGGCGTCACATCCTGAGTGGCAGCCAACTTCAGGATGTGATTCAAGTGCTTGTGCGTGAGCCTTGAGCACAGCTTTGTTTTATTTATGCTCATTACAGAGAAAACTTGCTCACAAAGATATGTGGTTCCAAACATGCACAACAGTTTTGCAGCGAGGGCTGTCAAGTTGGGGTAACCTGGCAAGAGATTCTGATTAAATGTGTCCAAGCCAGCTGCAGCAAATTTGCCCTACAAATCCGAGTCACACTGCAAGTCTATTATTTCAAGTTGGATGCTGATGGGCAGATCAGAGGGATACACGGTGATTGGCGAGCAAAAAACGTTGAAGTCTTTCTCCAGTTCACCAAAAATCTGAAAGTGTTGCTAAAACTCCCGTAACAGTCCCGTTATTTTATATTTGAACCGCTTCATGTCTGCCACATGTTGGGTCGCGCACACATTCTTCAGACAGGGGAAGTGAGCTGCATCACCACCGGCAAGTTGCGTCTCCCACAATGACAGCTTCAACTTGAAAGAACGTATGCTGTCATAATACTGCGTGACAACTTTGTTGCGCCCTTGCAGCTGTTTGTTCAAGTTATTCAGGTGCTCTGTAACATCCACCATAAATGCAAGGTCCTGCATCCATTCTGCGGAATGGAATTCTAACACTGGTTTGCCCTTTTCTTCCATGAACTGTTCAATTTCTTCTCGTAAATCAAAGAAACGCCTCAGCACCTCGGCTTAACCATCTTACCTCAGTGTGGTATGGCAGGCCATAGATGTGGTCTTTCTCTCTGAGAAGGCTGTCAAACTGACGGTGATTCAGGCTTCTGGATCGGATTAAATTAACAGTTTGGATGACCACCTTCATGACGTTATCCATCTTTAATGACTTGCAACACAAAGCCTCCTGGTGCAAAATACAGTGAAAAGTCAAAAAATCACGTCCTCCATTTGCAGATTGCACTTTCTCTCTGAACTTTGTCACAACGGCTGCTTTTTTCCCGATCATTGAGGGCGCACCATCTGTAGCCAGGCTGACAGCGCGGGACCAGTCCACTCCGACCCTGTCCAGCGCGCCGACGAGTGCGGTAAAAATATCAGCTGCTGTCGTTGTATCTGTCATCGGCACCAACTCCACGAACTCCTCGGTGACAGTCAATGTGTCATCAACTCCGCGGATGAAAATGGCAAGTTGTGCAACATCTGTAATGTCCGTGCTTTCATCAATTGCAACCGAAAACGCAATAAATTACTTTACTTTTTGCTTCAACTGGCTGTCCAAATCCACTGAAAGATCGGAAATCCTGTCTGCAACTGTGTTTCTTGTCAGGCTGATATTTACAAAAGCCTGACGCTTTTCAGGGCACACAAACTCCGCTGCCTTCATCATGCATGTTTTTACAAATTCACCCTCACTAAATGGTTTTAAAGCCACTGCGATTTCATTAGCAATGAGGTAGCTAGCTTTCACTGCAGCGTCACTGATGTCTCGGCTGTGAGTAAACACAGACTTGACCTACTTGCTCTGCCCCGGTATAAACAGTTTGCTTGCTTAACACAATTGCTATTGCGCCATCCAGTGGACACAATTGGAACAGCAGTTGATTTTATTGAAAAATTGCAGCGCATTTTTATACTTTACAAAATCATCTCGCGGGCCGGATTAAACCCGTTTGCGGGCCTGATCCGGCCCGCGGGCAAGACGTTTGACACCCCTGGTTTAGGCGCTCTGAGGAGACCTGGGACGCTGCCCATGTGCGCCTGCAACAGGCCATCAGGCGACAGAAGGCGAGCGCCGACACGAAACCTGCCCCTTCGCCTGCCCTGCCGGATGCTGGATCCGCGGTTTGTGGGGCCATTTAAAGTCCTGAGGAGACTGAACGAGGTATGTTATAGGTTACAACTCCCCCCTGATTACCGTATTAACCCCTCGTTCTATGTGTCTCTCCTCAGGCCGGTGGTAGCAGGTCCGCTCCAGCAGTTTGAGGTGCGGGAGGTTCCCCGGCGTATACTGTATGAGCCATCATGGACTCAAGACGTCGGGCGAGGGGCCTTCAGTACCTCGTGGAGTGGGAGGGGTACGGTCCAGATGAGAGATGCTGGATGCCGGTGGAGGACATCCTGGACCCTTCCTTACTGCAGGAATTTGACCGTCTCCACCCGGATCGTCCTGCGCCTCGTCCTCCGGGTCGTCCCTGAGGCCGGTGTAGGCACGCTGCTGGAGCCGCGCGTCAAGGGGGGGGGGGGTACTGTCACGACTTCCACCGAAGTTGGTGCCTCTCCTTGTGCGGGTGGCTATCGGCGGTCATCGTCACCGGCTTTCTAGCTGCCACCGATCTACGTTTCTGTTTTCCATTTGTTTTGTTTGTCTTGTTTGTATACACCTGGTTCCCATTGTATGATGATTATTTCCCTTTTTAACCCTTTGGTTCCCACATGGTTTTGTGCGTGTTTGTTCGTTGTGTTGTGTCATACGCTTTTGTGAGCTGGTGTCTTTTCCGTGGAAATTAGTGTTAGTTTTTTCCGAGTACGTTGTGTACTCAGTTCTGTATCCTGCGCCTGACTCCGTCCTACCGCTGCACATTTGACACCTCATACTATCCAATAATTTTTCTAAATGATGGGTATTGTCGATTGTTTTGATTAGTTTAGACTACCTTGGCAACAGGCAGGGGAAATTAAATGGACTGGTGTGGAGAGAAAATGGAGACAGGTCTGTGATCAGAGGGGAAAACTACAGCAGACCTCTTGTGTCAACCACTATTATTTATTTGTAGTTCAGGTTCTATCCATCACATGGTTGCCACTTTGAACAGCCTGGTCTCATAGACTAGACGTATATTCGGGACACTCAAAGTTGATTTATTTATTGGTATGACATGTTATATTTGGTATGGTTACATAAGACAGAAGGTTACTTAAGGCAAAAACTAAGGGATGATGGTTGTTCGGGTGTATAACGCAAACGTCTAGTAACCGAAAGGTTGTGTGTTTGAATCTCATCACGGACAACTTTAGCATTTTAGCAACTTTGCAACTACTTACTACTTTTTTAGCTACTTTGCAACTACATAGCATGTTAGCTAACCCTTCCCCTAACCTTAACCCTTTCAGCTAACCTTTCCCCTAACCCTAACCTTAACCTTTTACCCTAACTCCTAACCTTAACCTTAACCCTAACTTCTAACCATAACCGCTAGCCAAGCTAACATTAGCCGGCTAGCTAACGTTAGCGTTTTCCACCTAGCCACCTGGCTAATGTTAGACACAACAAATTGGAATTCGTAACATGTCATATGTTTTGGAAATTCTAAACATATTGTACAAATTGCAATTCGTAACATATCATACTAATTGTGTGTCTCGGATTTATGTACAGTGTCTCGGATTTATGTACAGTGTCTCGGATTTATGTACAGAATAATACGAAATTCTCTGAGAGCATTTTGCTCTGAACTGTCCCAGTCAACATCTCCTGCATCCCTCCTTCACACAGCGCTATGATTGACGTTTCACGAGAGGCACCTCAAGGTGGGGCTAAATGGTCTCTATTCCCAATAATTTCGCGTAGGCGGAGTCTGACTTTCATACTCTCGCTATGTGCTGCGGTACGGTACTGTAGGCTACGCAACAAAAGCAAGCGGGTGGAATAAGTCGAAATAGCTTGCACTTCAGGTTTCCAAAACCCTCCTTCGATACGACAGTCTCTCGGAGAAAAAGGGGTTGTGTTTCGGGAAGACACAGGCTCTGACACACGAAAGGAAGACGCATACAGATTCAAATGTTGTAGTTGAAGCCAGTTTATCTTTTCCACCCACAGTCTGATCTACTAACACACAGTCTGATCTGCTAAAGGGAGCATTTCATATCAGATTTCACATTCAGTTCTGACCAGCTGGGAGAGCATAGAGAGGGAGAGAGAAGGCTTGTTTCTCTTCCCCTCCGACTCTGGGTCTTGGAGAACTCAGGAGCGCAAGAAAGCAAACCACAGCGTGGAACCCTGAACCTGGGTAGGCACGATAAAAGGTCCGTCGGAATTTGTTAAGGATTCTCTTTTGCGAGATTGACACGGAGGTGAGAGCAAATAGATCGTAAGAGATGGACGAGCAACCGCGGTTGATGCACTCTCATGCGGGAGTAGGGATGGCAGGGCATCCCGGCCTGTCTCAACACATGGAAGGCACCGGAGGAACAGACGGCGATGGGAGAAAACAGGACATTGGAGACATTTTACAGCAAATAATGACCATCACAGATCAAAGTCTGGATGAAGCTCAAGCTAGGTAAGGTGCTAGGGACCTACCTTGTCAAAATGGGCAGCGAATCATTATGGCAAACTACTCTATGCATTCAATATCGATGGATAATAAGACATTTCAAACCCGTCAGATTTTTTGTGAAAAATATTATATTGATGAATTGAAAATAATTAGGTATTCGCGCCCAACAGCCTACAATAATGATAAGCGGGCGAGCGCGCATTTGGTAAAATAATGACATCCAAAGTGCACCAGTTACTGAAAATACACTTTGAAGTTCTATTATTATTAATATTTAGAAAACAGATCATTTTCTCCTGACTTTCCAGAAATTATAGACCGTAAAATTGCAGCAGTTTAGCCTACAGGCTGCAACTATAGATTCAAAGTGTTTTCACACTACTGACAAATCAATAATGACTCGCAAATTTGACATCTCAAGTTTGTGGATGCGATCTGTCATCAAAATAACCAGCATCACATTGATTGACAACATCATCATTTTGATTAACTTTTGTGCAAACACAGCTCTCTCAGTCACTCCAGGCAAAATATAACTGATAAGGCACAGCCTAAATCTAAAATAAATCGAGACTAGGCTATTAGGCTATCATTTGTTATTTACATGGGCAATACAATAGGCTATTGGTAGTAATTGCAGAAAATAATTTGCATCCAGTTATTAGATATTTTGTTGACTCAGACGCTAAAGAGAAGTACTCAGACGTGCATGGTGCGCGTAGGCTATGTGTTTAGTCTATATCGTGGAGGGCGGGCAGCAGAGAGGAATCTGTCAAAATGCCATGAAGCTCTTTGGACAACCTTTTCCACAGTCCTGTGTTTCACTGCGATATACATGACTGTAATTTATACAAAGTCAACAACAAACAAGACATGTAATAATTGTTGATAATACTTTACCTTTCTAAACAAAAAATTACATCTTCAAAACTGTTGTATAAATTATTGTTGGTATTGTTGCTCAATCAGTCCAGAACTCAGCATGATTTTTTGCATGATATTTTTAGGCAGTTACAAGTAGCCATATATTCCAGTTTACTTTCTTTACTTACTTCCGATAATAATAATAATAATAATATTAATAATAGGCCTATACATATTAACATGTCATTTTTAAAATATTACATATGCTATTTTACTTTTGAGACTAAGCATGTATATAAAAAATACAGCAGCCTATTAATAAAAAAGGTTGATGTAATGCGCAATTGTATCACACAATTGCCTGTCTCCATAATTTGCGGCACATGCTTCAATAAACCCGTTATAGCCTAACTATGTTATTAAGATAATTTTTGAAGGTACTTTGTTTTGTTTTAGGAAACACGCCTTGAATTGCCACAGGATGAAGCCTGCTCTCTTCAACGTCTTGTGTGAAATCAAAGAAAAAACAGGTAGGCCAATGCGTTTAATAAAGTTATCTACTGGTAAGGTATTGAACGCACATCAAATATAGACCTAGCCTACATAATTTGAAGGGAAAACTATTTATACTATAGGCTACAGAAGCCCACGTAAAGGGGATATATTATATGCGCTCTGATGCATGCATAGGACTCATAAATGTCTTCAGAGAAAGCGCGTTTTACAATTCACAGCCATTCCTATCCACAAACTTGTTGCAGGACATGCACCATTGTTTTTCAATGTACTTTGAATTACATATAAGGTATACAAATGGGATTATTTATTATACCTGTGTTTTTACCCTTTGCCTTGTCGTGCAATCCATTTTGCGCTGTTACACAAGACGTAGGCCTAGAGTCAGTGCTACTACATTGAAAATCCTTATCAATTATAGTGTCAAACATCTGAGAGCTAAATTACCATCTGCATCATAATGTTTCCCCCTTGTGTGTTAGCTGTCAAGTCTCTCTGCTGAGTGTGTCTCATTTAATTCACTTGTGTCCGTCTTTCCATGTCGCCAAAATAATTGCACTAAGAGCAGATGCAATGACATTAGGCTTAGGGAGAGGCATAACATAAATCGTCTTTCCAGAATACAAACCCCTTTTCCCTTGACATTTTTTAAATTGGCACAGATAGAATTCAGCGCTGTTTAGGAGCAGTGGTGTGTATATACAGTACAGTGCCTATTGAAAGTCTACACCCCCTTGAACTGTTTTCACATTTTGTTGAGTTACAAAGTGGAATTGAAATATATTTAATTGTACATTTTTGTAATTGATCTGCCAAAAATACTCCATAATGTCAAAGTGAAAATAAAATATAGTCGTTGCATAAGTATTCACCCCCTTTGTTTAGGCAACCTACATCAGTTCAGAAGTCAAATTTGGCATAACAAATCACATAATAAGTTAGATGGACTCACTCTGTGTGAAATAATAGGGGTTGACATCAGTGGCGGTCAGTGGCGTTTAAGATTAGGGAGGATATTATGTATTTTTATGAGCATGGCCATATTTCTATTACATCATATTGGATGACTGTCATTCATATTCCATTCACCCAGCTCAATGTAACATCGATAGGTTTAGGCTACTACATGATACTCGAATTTGCACTATACCCATCACGAGGTTGCTACAACCTAGCCTACAAATGAAAGTTTATAACGTAGGTATGCAGGTCGAGAACCAAATTGGTTCAGTGACAGTAACACATTCAATACTGCCATGCACACTCTTGCCTGCATCTAACTGATCTGGGGTGTAATCATTAGTCCAAACTGTTGCAAAACCGAAACTAAAATGAGTTTCTATTGGACAAATTCACTATAAAAAAAAAGATCCCTTTGGTCCATCCTCATTTCGTTCTGTTTTCTCCCTCACACTTTCATAGCAGCCAAATAGGCCTACAGCATCATCACTTTGCTCGTTATATAATTCCTTCTCGCAGCTACACGCTCTTATCCTCTCACCTTTTCCCTTTGCTTGTGGACTTCAGTGCACAACACAACAGCTGTCTGTGACCAGGCGTGAAAACTTCTCCAAGCCAAACCTTCATCATGCCATAACCGCTAACCACTACACAACCTACATCATTGTCACCATTTTAGCTAACATCATAGTCAACAAACTAGAACTAACACGTTAGTAAACCCACAATCCAATCCATGTGTACAGTCACACAGTACAGTGTACAGCAAGCAGTTTAACAGTTACACCGGTGGGCCCCGGTGGCAATAAATTATTAAAACCGAAAGCGTACCTTGACTTAGAAGAGTTGCAATGTTGGATAGCCTTAGCCAGCTAGCTAACATGCATAGCATTCCTCGCTGTTTGAGTCAGGTTGTTGAGTAGGCTAAGTGAAAGGTAAAGTAAGAAGAAAAAAATATATACAACAAAATATAGCTAGCTATTTCTCTCTCTCTTTCTCTCTCTGCTGCTTCTCCTTCATTTTTTAAGAAACGAATTTGTTCAAAACTGTTCAACTATTATCTTTCTCTCTCTTTGAGTCAACTACTTACCACACTTTATACACTGCAGTGCTAGCTAGCTGTAGCTTATACTTTCAGTAATAGATTCATTATCTGATCCTTTGATTGGATGGACAAAATGTCATTTCATGTTGCAAGACCTCTAATAGTTTGGAGGACGTCCTCCGCAAGTCGTCATAATTACTGTTTAAGTCTATGGAAGGGGGTGAGAATCATGAGCCGCCTAGGTTTTTTATTGAAGTCAATATACCCACAGGAGGATGTCCTCCGGCTACCCCATGGTGCTACCCAAGAGGGTGCTGTTGCGTCTACTGTATACTTTAATTGCAAAACAGTGTGTTTTAATCAGTTATTTGGTGACGTGAATATATTTTGTATAGTTTTATCTAAAAAGGATAACTTCTTTAATGTTTCACTATATATAAAAAAAATGAAATTCACTGAGTAGGATGGTCCCCCCTTCCTCCTCTGAGGAACCACCACTGGTTGATATGATTTTTGAATGACTACCCCTTCCTCTGTCCCCAAAACATATAGCATCTGTAAGGAACCTCAGTCAAGTATTGAAATTCAAACACAGATTCAACTCCAAAGACCAGGGAGCTTCTTGAAAGAAGGGCTGTGATTGGCAGACATTGAATATATCTTTAAACATGGTCAATTTAATAATTATGCTGTGGATGATGTATTTAACCACCAAGACACATCAAAGATGCAGTCGTACTTCTGAACTGAGCTGCAGGACTGGAAGGAAACTTCTTAGGGAAGTCACCATGAGGGCATTGGTGACTTTAAAACAGCTATGGAGTTCAATGGCTGTGATGGAAGAAAACTGAGGATGGATCAACAACATTGTAGTCTCTCCACAATAATGACCTAAACGACAGAGTGAAAAGAAGGATACAAATATACATAATAAAAAATATTCCAAAACATGCATACACTGTATGTATGCAACGAGGCACTAAATTAATACTGCAAAAAAACATGGCAAAGGAATATTGGGGTTTTATGTTTCATTAATTTTACATAAAAAATAAATGACATTACATTTTGTGTAGATCGTTGACAACAAATGACAATTAAAACCATTTGAATCCCACTTTGTAACACAATACAATAGGGGGTGTAGACTTTCTATAGGCACTGTATCTTGTCCATTATTTTCCCTTTCTAAGTGTAACCGGTGTGAAATGGCTAGCTAGTTAGCGGTGCGAAATAGTAGCGTTTCAATCGGTGACGTCACTCGCTCTGAGACCTTGAAGTAGTTGTTTCCCTTGCTCTGCAAGGGCCGCGGCTTTTGTGGAGCGACGGGTAACGGTGCTTCGAGGGTGACTGTTGTCGATGTGTGCAGCGGGACCCTGGTTCAAGCCCAGGTAGGGGCGAGGAGAGGGACGGAAGCAACACTGTTACATAAGACCTGGCGTGGAATGGAGACTCCTTTAAATTTGCACTGTGTGGGTTTAATATGGAAGCATCTCCACTGTGTTCACTGTCATTAGTGCATTAAATAAAATTGGATAGATAGATAGATAGATAGATAGATAGATAGATAGATAGATAGATAGATAGATAGATAGATAGATAGATAGATAGATAGATAGATAGAGGCCACCACCCTCCACCTCCACCCTCCCACCAACCCAGTCCTCCTGCCCCATGTAGCTCACTCTCAATCTGGCCAGTGTCTCAGGAGAGCAGGGGGCCTTTTGAGGCCTGCTGACTCTCTCTCCTTTCTCTGTTCTCTCGGTAGGGTTTTGGAGGGGGAGTAAGTGGCACAGTTATGCATAGTGTTTTACTCCCTGGCGTTTCTTCGAGTTCATCCAAAGTTCATCTCCGCATGGGACACAAAGTAACTTGGATCTGGTCCTGGCTGGGAGTGCTGTGCACCCTGTGCTTATTTTCTCTCAGTATCTCTCTAAGCCGGCTACGACCCCAACAACCCAATAGCCCAGGTTTCTGTTTCTCCTGAAAGAGAATGTCTCTGAGTCTGACCCTCTCCTCTTCTCAGAGGAGGTTTAGTTACACATACCCGCTGTGGTTGGAGAACATTAGGGTTCATTACATCAAGTGAATATAGATATATGGATGTACAAGATATATGGTTTTGTACATCTCTACTCTTTCATATACTGTGTGAGACATTGTCTCATCTGCTTCCTAGTGTTGTGTATAAGGTGTTAGAATTAAATTGTCACCAGTAGTTTTGAAAATATTTTTGAAAAATGTCTGCTGCTGAAGCCTGGAGTATATCTCAACTGGGTCCTCTTGGCTGGGTGCCAAAGTGTTATCCATGTAAAAAGAGCCTACCTGTTTTTTAAACATTATTACAACTCTGCCTGCCACAGTACAGACTACAGACTAGCCCTAGTGAGGCTGTGTAGAGTTGAGCCGGTTGGTCGGTGTTACTGTTAGGTCTTAAAGTAAGTAAAGCTCAGCGCAGAACCTACTGACTGCACAGACCTCTGCTGCTGCAGCTCTGGAATCTCTCCTGTTTTTAACCATTAAATATGTATGAATGCACCAGATGCATTAGCAAGGCTATTTTGTAGTCTGGTTTTTACAACACATGAATTTCACATTAATATCTTATTGTAACATGTCGTTTTTATTTCTGAAAAGACTGTAGTGTATCATTTGGCATTTGTATTTATTTGTATAATTTTGTCATAGCAAAATTTGAGCGCTAAGAATTGATATAACTGCATATAGCACATTAAATTTTACATGTTTTAATTAAAGGAAAAGTGGCTTAGTTTTTTGTCAAAACCTTCAATCACAGTGTATTTTTTTAACGAATATATCAATATTTCTGGAATTTGGTTTCAGCAAATGGGATTGTCTTTCCCCTCCATCTCCGCTACGCGTTTTATGCCTCTGACTGCCCCCAGTACCAGAGCAACTGACATCACCTGCAGGAGTCAGGACAGAATAAAATGCCATGCTCAGGGAGGCAGGACAGGCAGGCAGCGCTGAGGAAGCCAGTACCTGAA